AATAGTCGGACGTCTCGACTAACAACACCTATCGCTGACACAAATCACATCACTTTCCACATGAAAAAGGTAAACAAAGGTTTGACGACAAATTGGACGAGAGAATTGGTATTTAGGACGCCACGACGCCTCCCTCCCGGTTCCGCAGAGCGTTTCCCCGCCCCGGGGCATCACCCATTCTCCGTGCGGACCGGAGCACCCCGCCCAGGCGGTCTGGCGACCGACTCATCTCCCCAGGTAACAACGCTATACTCGATATTCCCGATATGGTCTTTTTTAATACATTATAATTGTCGTTTTAGTGGCTAGTTACATGGCTGAGTACGTGCGTCCCAAATCCCCAACGTGGTCGCGACCCTCTAGCCAGGGATGCGCTCGCGCCACAGGCTGTCGCCAACCATACACCGGCCAACAAATTACGCTAAGTACCCCTTTCCTACTCGGGTCCCTACTGGAGCTCCAAAAGAAACCACAAGGGTGGGTCACTCTAAACTTCCTTCTTCTTTGTAATCCTAAGAAATTTCCATTCGCAGCACTTGTGTTGCCAAACCGGACACAAGGCACGAAGTCACACGGTGTAGAGAGGGTGTACGACGACGGTTGGATTACCGAATACAACAAAACTATTAACTTAGAACAGAGGTCACTTAAACGCTATTGTAAATTTATTTCTCGGATGTTTCATGCCTCTGCGAGCTAATGACCAGAATGGGGGCATATAACGCCACAGGATTTGGCGGCGGAAAGATTTCGGCCCGGATCGGCAGCGAGAATATGTTTTCTGCTTGTGTGTGGTGTAAGAATCTTCCGTCCGCCCTAGGTTAGGGCCGGCCGATTTTAGATTGGAACGGACTCACCGCTGTCCTCCGCGTTTCCGTCGGGTTGCCGGTTGCTCCCGGTTTCGCCTGATGGTGGCCCTAGTGCTGGCGGCCGCTGGCGCGCAAGAGTGCTGGGACCCGGATGTCGTGCAGGTGTTTCGGGAAATGAGGGGCTCGCCCAGACAAAAATCCACCGAACGCTCGGGGCGGCGAGCTCACCAACACATCGGAGAACAACAAAAAGAGACCGTGGCCCGTGTTATTTGTCACGGCCACGCTGTAAAAAAACTATATTTTCTTTACCGGTCACTATGGCTATTTTCCTTCGCGCTACTTCACTCACGTTTTCTTTTAAATATGAAATTTCACTTTTTCTAGATGCTAGCGCGCCGGCTGACGTCCCCACTCTCTCCCTCTTCCAGTCTCCTGCCCCCCTCTATAGGCTCCGTTGCCGAGTTCCCCATTTTCGGCTTACCGTAATCTTGGGGCGCTCAGTACAACGGCCTAGTGAAAAGGGTAAAAACCCTTTTCTCTTAAGTTTGGTTTTTCCCGGTTCGCTCACCATTCCGCGCTCCCTGTTTTCCTACCGACCCTCCCTCTATCGATATCGATAACCCTCCAGCCCATTCCGACTGAAAATGCAACACCACCCAAGGATTTGGAGAGATGCTACTGGATCACGGCGGCTCGACAAGGACTATTGGGAGCATTGGATATTGTACCCGTGCAGATTCCGTCAGGGTGCCCAACGCGGGGCCCCCGCTCACGGGAAGTATAAGATGTCTTTAGGCTCCTTTCCGTCCTTGTATACTTTGTGTTCTTCTTGTTCCCTTCCAGGGTCAGATGCGGATGTCCTTGGCGTGATAGATGCCCAAGCTTCGGCCCTGCAGATCCTCCAGCTCGTACGCATTGTTGCCTACGGCCTTCACCACTCTGGCCTTTAGGAACTTTTTTGCGAACTTCGCATTAAATTGCTTCCCAGTCGCTGAGGACAAAGTTCCGGCGATAGACTTCTTGCCCCGGCTTCGCGGTGGAGACTCTGGCCCTCTGGTCGTATCGCTGGCGACTGTCGTCATATGCGGTCTCCAGACTCTTGCGCACCTTCTCCTGTACCACCCGGGCTTGTCAGCCGTCGGCATTCCGGCCATTTCATGGTCACACATCGACTGCAGCTTCCTTGCCAGTCTGTAGCTGGACCCATGCAGGAACATGTGATGCCCGAACACTGTGAAAAACGGCGCCTCGCCTGTCGCTGCATGGACTGCATTCCTGATGGCCACTCTCAATCTCCGGAAGGTATGCATCCCACTCCCGATGGTCACTCTCCAGGAACCCTCGGATCGCTGCCAGGACACTCCGGTTGACCCGTTCCGCTGCGTTGCTCTGGTGGGGGTAAATCGGGGGTCTTCGATGCCGGATCCCGAAGCTCTCCATCGCCTCCTCGAAGATCTTCGAGGTGAACTGCCGCCCGTTGTCAGAGTGCACCACCTCCGGCACTCCAAACTTGTAGAATACCTCCGTAATGAGGAAATCTACTACGTTTGAAGCGTGTTTGCGTCTCTCATCGCCTTGAGGAACGTATATTTGGAGAAATTGTCCACCACTATGAAGATCCAGGCGTGTCCCTTCTTCGACCTCGGATATTTGCCAAAGAAGTCGACGTACAGCTTCTGGAAGGCCGCTCCGTCTGTACCCGCTCTCCGATCCCCACCATCATCCGGTGGTTTGGGGCCTTCGACTCCTTGCAAATCTGACATCTTCGGACGAACTCGCGGATCTGGATCACCATCCCAGGCCAGTAGAACTGCCTCCGCAGGATCTCCAGAATCTTCCCATTCCGCCGTGAGCGGCTTTGGGATCCGTATGGGCGCGCTCAACCAGGCTGTGGGTCAGACTCTGTGGTACCCAAAGTTTCCATGCGGATCCTTCCACTTCGTCATCCAGCGTTGCTGGGGAGAATCGCTTGAAGATGAGACCGTCCCTCGATCCTAAGATCCGGTAAGTTATCCGAATTCTCCTCCACTTCACGGACTAACTCCTGGTACTCATCCCCATCAAACTCGGTGGTCTCGAAACCCAGCAACTCTGTCGGATCGACGGAGATCTCCTCCACGCAGCGCGAAGCGTGTCTGCCACCACGTTCTCGCTGCCTTTCCGGTGCTCGATGTTGAAGTTGAATCCCTGGAGCTGCAGAGACCACCTGGCCAGGCGTACCGATAGGTCCTTCATGGACATCAACCACTTCAGGCTGGCGTGATCCGTGATGCAAGTGAATGGCATCCCTTCCACATACGGACGGAACTTCCGGATCGCCAGGAGCGCTGCCAGGCACTCTTTCTCGGTGACGGTGTAATTCACCTGGTGCCTATTCATCTTCGCCGAGAAGAAGGTTATCGGCTGCTCCTGGTTGTCCTCATCCTTCTGGCACAGAACCGCTCCAACCCCGATGCTGGGAAGCGTCGCACTGGATGAAAAAGGTGCTTGAAGTCGGCGTGGACTAGTACCGGCGCCGTCGTTAGAGGCATCTTCAGGGCTTCGACCGCCAGCTGCGCCTCCGGACTCAGAGAAAGCTTCGTGTTCCCGGTCTTCTTGAGCGCCTTGGTGAGCGGTGCTGCCAGCGTTGACGAAGCGCCGATACCATCCAGCCGTGCCGAAAAATGCTCGCACCTCCTTCATAGTCCTCGGCTCTGGCATCCTACGGATCGCAGCCACTCTTCCTGGATCCATTCGCAGACGACCTCCACCTACGATGAAGCCTAGGTAAGTCAACGACTTGAAACAGAATTTCGATTTGCTAAGCCCAATCGTTAATCCTGCTTCTCTTAGGCATTCGGCGACTCGTCGTAGGTAGCGGAAGAGCGTCTCGATGTCCGGTGCCAAGAGTGAGCAGGTCGTCCAAGTAGACGAAGACGTTGGACCGGATTTCTGCCGGGATTACTCGGTCCATGAGTCTCACCAGCCGCTGCGCCGCATTTGCAGAGTCCGAACGGCATCACCCGGAACTGATACAGGGCCCGACCAGGGAAACGACCGTGACCGTGAACGCTGTCAACTCCTTGCTCTTCTCGTCCAGTTCGATCTGCCAAAACGCGAATTTTAAATCCACGCTGGAGATGTAGTGCGTCTGATCGATTCTGGACAGGATTCCATAGATACTAGGCAAGGGGTAAGCATCCTTGACGGTCACCTCGTTTAGCTTCCTGGCATCCAAACAGAACCTGTCCTTTCCAGGCTTCGACACCACCGTCGTCCGGTTACTCCACGGGCTCTTGCTCTCCTCGATGACTCCCAGCGCCAGCTGTCTTGTCGACCTCGACCTCGACCACCTTCTGCTTCGCCGGAGACATCGGATAGGGCCGATCCTCCAAAAACTTTCACACTTCCACCAGCTCTATGGAATGCTTCTCCAGGCTCGTGGTTCCTAAGCCATCCTCTTCAAAGGTGAGGAACATCCGCTTAATCTCCTCCAGCTTCCGGGAAACCGCCTCGGATAGGGACCAGGATTCGGGATCCACCTTCTCGTCGTCGTCGTCTTCTTGGTCGGCGTAGTGCTCCATTTCCTGGCGTGGATTTCTTCGGCCTTCATCACGCTGTTTGTCTGTACTTCTCCCACTACGGCCGGAGCCAAGCCAAAAGCTCGCCAGAAATCGACGCCGAGATACCCCGGCTGCTCCAGGTACGGGCAAAGATAGAAAAGAATATTCTCTACCCTCCCTTTGTACTCCACAGGTAGCTTCAATCGCCTGATGATCGAACGATCCTCACCTGCAGCCGTACGCACCACCGAGAAATATCTCTGGACAGACACACCCAAAGCCTCCACCAGTTCCCTGCCGCCATTGCCGAGCAGACTGACACACTCCGGTATCCAATAACCCGGTCAGCTGCTGGCCTAAAATGTTTATCGCGGCGAAGGGCCTGGGATCGGGGATGCCGCCCCGCTGCACTGCTGCGACGACTTCTCTTCGCTTTTTTCCCTACGCTTTCAAAACCGCTCTCTGGCCGATACCGATACCTGGCGCATTCCGCACAGCTGGTGTTGTTTAAAAATTCTATTTCCTAGCTTCTAAATACCTCCGCATGCGCTCCTCGTAGGGTAAGTATCTTAATATATTTTTATTAATAATCTTAACGCCTATTTGTCTCCCTTGAGGCTCTCCTACATCGCGGGTTTCCGTCCTGGGCGAGTTCCTCCCGCTCTCGCATCGCCCGAGCCGACCGTTTCCCGCGCAATTCGGAGCATTTTGGGGCAACAGTATCGGCCTTTCCCATCGGAAGCAGGAACACTTTTCGCAGCTCTTGCTCGCAATCGCGGAATCCATGGTCCAACGCTCCGCAGTTCAGCATCCCGCCCGGGAATGGATTCCGTGGCCTCTCCGGAGTTCCCTCGACCTCCGGCGGGGTGCTCCTCCTCGTCTGGTTCCGGTCCAGCCACCTCGCCGACCCTGTTCCGCTCTCCTGCCGGATAGCGCGTCGCTGGAAGAATGGTGTGCGGCTCCTGCGTCCAAAACTGCGTTCGACCTCGACGGCCTCCTGCCGCAACTCATCAACGGTGAGCAGCTCCATAGCGTCGATAAAGGGCGCGCGATTCCTCTCGCAAACCATTCATCATCACTTCTACCAAGTGCCGCTCTGGCGATTGGCCTTTTCAGGCGAGAAGCAAGGGTCTGCATGGCGTGCGGGTAATCGTCTACGCCCTCTCCTGGCTGCTGCTCCCGTTGCAAAAGTAGGTGCATCCGCTGGTGCTCCGTCTCGTGGCTCTGGAACCTGTCAAGCAGCGCTCGACGCAATTGGCTCCAATGGTCCAGTCTATGCTGCTGAACGTGGATCCAATACCACTCCAACGCCCGTCCCGACAGCAACGTGTGGAAGTTTTGCAGAACTTCAGCCCACGGACAACGAGTTTGGCGTTGGAGGTACTCCCAGACGGAAAAGGAATCCCTCGACGTGGTTTCCTCTCATCCTCGCCACTGAACGAGATGTTCCAGCGCCCCACCCTGGTTGTACTGCGCACTGCCTCCCGCTACGTCCCAGTTGGCGTACGTCCGCTCATCTTGGAACTCGCAGACTGCAAACTGTCTCTTCCTGGTACGCGGTTCTCCTGGGTGGCTTCGGTGGAACACGCGGAGGTGTCCTTGTCCCTTGCCCACCGACCGTCTGGTGGCTCCGCGGTATGGCTCCCTGAGCGCCCTGGGGTCCCTCCGTCGGTCGTCCCATAAGAAAAGGCTTTGCTGTGGCCGTCCCTCTGGACAAGGCTGCTGTGCCCGTCCCCTCTGGACAAGGCTGCTGTGCCCGTCCCTCTGGACAAGGCTGCTGTTGCTGCTGGGCTGGCGTCCGCTGCGGATCCTGCTGGTGAGTACCTGCCGGTCTCAACACCTGATTCATCAGATGCCTCATCTCCAGGAAGCCAGCCCGTAGCTGTCCCGCAAACCTTGGCCGATTCCCGCCTCCTGGGGACTTGCGGTAACGTCTCCGCTGCCTGCGCCAGGGCGAGGTTCACCGCCGACGTGATCGTTGAGTCCACAGGGAGGACTCTGGAAGCGTACCTCCTTCGGGGGATTCCGCCTCCAACAGCTTGTCTGCTGCCCCTGATCGCTTCAAACTCCAGCGACTTGAGCTGCTTCGGGTCTCTCTGGCTGCTCCTCTGCCCGTCGTCGCGGTGGATTCCTCACCAACCCGGTTGAGAACCGCGGCGGCGCGTACCCAGCTGCACCTTCCGCGTCCGTGGACCACATTTCTTCTTCCTGGGCTGAAGGGCCCTTCGATCTGGGCTCATATCTGTCCTGCCTTTTTTCTGCCATTTTTTGTTAACTCCTAACTTCTGCGAAACACCTAACAAATTTTTACGCAGCAGCAACCACACCAATCTTTAAACAAACACCTAACACTGAATAAATAAATATATATGGTAATAATTAAATAAATAATAATAATAATGATACAAATAAAAATAAATAAAGGCAAGATAAATAAATAAATAAATAACAACAAATAAATAAATAAATAACCAAGAAATAAATAAATAAATAACCACAAATAAATAAATAAATAACCAAAAATAAAACTAAATAAATACAACCAAAAATAAATAACTAAATAAAAAGGAAGCAAAATAAATAATTCAATGAATATTTAACTTTCCATATATTATTATATAACCAGTCAATCTAATTTTCCTTTCTTTCTAATTCCAGGCCGATCAACCGCCGGTGGATTCCATAGCAGATTTCCTGCGTCTTGCCGACTGCCCAAGTCGTCCCTACTCCAGCCGCTCGTCAATCTGGACTAACTTTTCTGTTGAGCTGAAAGTCTGCCAGTTTAGGACATCGGCCTTCGCAGCATCCCGTGGATTTTTCTGTAGCGAACGCGACTTGCGGTTACCTACCTTGTGGTGGTCGTGCAGCGCGCAGTAATTACTACGGGTCACGATACCACCCTCCAAGGCAATTCCACAAGCCGCCCCCTGACCGGGAAACCCAAGGATCTTGCACAAAAATTAACGTTAACATGAAAACAAAGGACTCACGCCCGGATGCCACCACCTCCGCACAGCAAAACAGCTGCGCGCTGTGACTCGGGGAGCAATTGTCCGCTTTTCTGCGGCTCCAGTCTCCCGTCCTCACCAAGAAAAAAAAAACAAAGACATTTCCTAAACCAGGACCTATGCCTTGACCAGCAGTCCCCAGGTCATCGGTGCATTTGCAGACCGTAAATAGGCCCTCGCAAGCCACCATTCGTGGGGCTGGATGGTCCTGGA